ACAAAGGCCTATCAGCAGGTGAATGTTACCATATAATCAGCATGGTAGCATGGCCTAGGCCACTTCCTGAAAAAGCTTCAAGAAGCAGCTTTCATTCTCTTGTTCATTAAAATTTTGATCACATTAGCAAGGATTTGTTGGTAACTGCTGATATGCAATAAGATATATGTCTGTTAGGGCTTTTAAATGCTTTGGATGTAGAGTCCATTGTGCCTAATCAGACTGGCATTGCCCACTGTTGGAAAGTGTTGTATGATTTACTACTTTGCCCACGCACTCTCATCTGATTAAATCCCTCTTTCCTTGCTGCTGGGAAGCAGAATTGGTAGCAATGAAGCATCTTTAACATTCTGCATAGTACACAGCTCTAGAGCCCTTGGAATATATTAAGTTCAAATCTTGGTTTAAAAAGGTCTGTAAATTTGATTTTACTTGGCTGCAAACCGGCAGCCTGAAAATGAGCAAATAAAATATTACAGCTGATGTGGAAGAAAATTAAACGTCCACTTACCAATGTACTTCAGTCTAAGGTGAAGCTTGATTGTGAAGTAAGAGCATGAGTCAATGATGCATTCGTACCTTATCTGCAGAGAGCTCGTGAGCCTAGGAAGTCCGCCACTAGTAACCTAGTGACTATGTGATACAGTACTTGAGCAAGTGACATACAGTCACTTCAAATAAAGCTTTCTACACCCGTAGGGTGACTGGAAATTCTTAGACAGTACGAACTTCTCCTGATGTGAATTGTAACATGATTAATATGCCTAGTAACAACTCATTAGTTTTCAGAAGGAATGAAACTGAATAACTGCAGTAGTAGCAGTAACCTGCCACTAAAATGCGCCTCTCTATTTGAGGTCAAAGAAAGGCTGACTAGAAATAACTGAATAATAAGATTACAAAATTATAATAAATAATAAATAAATAATAATAAATAAATGAATAACATTAAAAATAATAACATTATCTGAGGGAAAAAAAACATTCAACTCAGATATGGATGGAATATGGTCAGCAAAACATGTGAGTCTTAAGGTCATATTTCAAATCATCTTGCTGGGTTTGAAAAACAGAGATTTCATTGTGTATGTAGGTGTACCTGAAGTATGATGCACATTACTCAGGAATACATGTGTCAGGACAGATGATGTATTAACAGTTAGCAATTCTACTGTTCCTATTCATTTGTCTAAGCCTTAATAGTGTGACCACTAAATGGAAGCACTTTGGACTGAATTGTTATATGCTAATTTGACTGCATCAGAAACTACTCACCCTAATACTATGATGTGGATAGCTAATGCCAGCAGTGAGATATGGGGCCAGAAACAGTACATATAGCAGTCTGCTCACTGTGACTCACACACAGGAAAGAAAAGGGGTTAATTTGATTTATGAAATTAAACTTTTTCAGATATTTCAGGGGAAATGTTAGAGTTTTTCAGGGATTATGTTGTTATGTAAGAAAGGCCATCCATTTATTCCAGTATTCTGCATTTTTCAAAGCATGTTCACAATAAAGGAAGTAAGAAAGAATGAAAGATAGGTATTGTCTTTTGTGACAGCAGGGGAAGTCAATTAATTATACTTTTCAAACCTCCTTACATCAGTGCATCCAAGCTACCTAAGACAAAATGAAACTCCTTTAAAGCAAGGCTACCATCTGAAATGAGTTCCTCACTCAACAAATTGCTCCTTGCTTAAACTTAGCATGATGTCAGTTCTATTCATTAACATAGATTTTTTTTCTGGTTTTTGTTCCCTGCAAAACCAGCATGTAAACTGGAATCTCTGCCAGCTTGTCCATCACCGATGGGAATAATTGTTTCAAGAAAACATTTGTACTGTAGTGTCTTTATTGGTCATCATTTGCAAGCTGAGAAGAACTCACTGTAGCTCTGAATCTCAAGATTCAGAGGCATAAAATGGCCTTGTTTGAGAGCTGGTGAGACAAGCAGTCTGGATCCCTGTGGCACAGTCAGGGCAGAAGCCCACAGAACTGCAGAATCCCAAACGTGTTTGTGTTGGAAGGGACCTTAAAGCTCATCCAGTTCCAACCCCTGCCACGGGCAGGGACACCTTCCACTAGAGCAGTTTGCTCCAAGCCCCTGTGTCCAACCTGGCCTTGAACGCTGCCAGGGATGGGGCAGCCACAGCTTCTCTGGGCACCCTGTGCCAGCGCCTCAGCACCCTCACAGGGAAGAACTTCTTCCTTATATCTAATCTAAATTTACCCATACTGCCGTTTGAGACTCAGGTTTACAGATAACACTTTGACAGATCTAATGCATATGCTTGTGAATGCAAGATATCAAAATGCCACTGTCCTTCCATTCCCAACCTTAGCCACCTCTTTCTATAGCCAGTACTAAAATAATTCCGTGACATTAAAAAGGTGCTGCTTATTGGAAGGAATAATGCATTTCATATTCCATCAGGAATGAACTCAAAATGAGAAGCTGATCTCCACATGAGCTGTCAAAGCCAGGAACAGTAACACGAACTCCCAGCAAGGGGCACTGTTTCGCTACATGTCCCTTACCACCTGTTTCCCGCTTAAAAAAATGTTATTGTACAACTCATGCATTTAACGTGAAACATAGAACCACACGCATCTCGCAAAGATGTTGAACTTTTGTCACTTTTAGGTGAAGATAATCACTCTCATTAAAATTATTTCTGCTTACTGTATTCCTTAGTCAAAGTCCTGTCAAATACACTACTAAATTAAGATAGAGTTTTGAAAAATGAGATGGAATTTCCTTATTTACAAATGTTTGGATACTTCAGAGAGAAACAGAGGTGTATATATCAAGGATTAAATATATAAAGGATAAAAACTGGCATCAAATTTGTGGGGGACATTGGGAGGTGTTTGGAGACAGGATTCAATTTAAAGGGTGCTCAATGCAAGGAAGTAAGAAATCTTTTGTATATTAAACAAAAACAAAATTAGGAGACATTCAGCAGGTCCTGCTTTGGGGAGTCTAAAAACAAGAGTAAGTACAAATACAAACCAGTGTGCTACCAGGGAAAAGAATTTCTTTGGAGATTTTGGTCTTTTCCAAGACTTTCCCAAGGAGAAAAAAAACTGTGTTTATTAAAATGACAGTTTTTCCAAGAAGGCAATTATAAAAATTAAAAGCAAGGCATATTTCAAACAATCTATTGCAAACAAACTATCAGTACTAGGTTTGGTATGTTTTGTCTCAAAAATACCTGAGTACTGAAACCTTGCCAACGTGCAGACATTCTTTCCAAATAAGAGCACCTGCTGCAAAGAGGCAGCACAACTGAACTCAACAAACTTTCAGGCAGAACAAGGCTGTTAGCAAGAGCACACCACTTGCTTTTGAGGGGATGAAGTCTTACTTCACATTTTTCCTACCTTGCATTATCTCCAAGGTTGTGGCTAGTACACTCAGATCTAACCTTTACAGCAATAGTTACAGATAAACATCCTCTTGAGAACTTCAGCAGTTTCTGAAGAATGTGGTTCTTACTTCTATGCTACAATTTCTTCCTTTCTTTATGATTTTTCCTATCTGCTTTTCATGTACTTTTTGTAATGATATTTGTAGTAAAGCACTAGATAAGGACTTACTTATCTGGGTGTCTTGTTTAATGAATTTGAGAATTTGGGACTCTGAAGAATAAATGAGGTCAGGCTGAATGGGGCCTTGGGCGACATGATCTAGTGTGAAGTGTCCCTGCCCATGGCAGGGTTTGGAACTGTATGATCTTAAGGTCCTTTCCAACCCAAACCACTCCATGACTTCATGTTAAACTGTTCAGAGTGCTTCTCCAGCAGTTAAATGCTGCAGACTTCAGAGATACTTGCCCAGATGTCAGCTTACTTTCTCAGCATTTGAAATATTTTAATCTTTCTAAGCATATTGCTTTTGAAACAAGGAAGACGCAGTAAGCAAAATGACTGCCCTCTTACCTCTGTCAGTTTCAGTAGCCACACAGTGTCCTGCAGGTTTTTTAGTTCTGGACAGCAAGGGAGTGATGCAGTCATATAACCCTTTGCAAAGACATAGTGCAGAAGTAATGTTAGACAGTTTCTTTGTCACCACTTCTAACATACCTCATAAGGGCTGTAGAGCACACCCTTCCCTACTCTGCTTTTGCTGTGATGTGGAGCTATACTACCGCTAGTTATCTAGCTGCCTGTAAGGCCTCTTTGCTACCTCCTCTGAGCATGTTTTTACACAATTTTCCAAGTCAGGCTAGAAAAGAAGGCCATGTGTTGGATGGATATAATTTCTTGTGCAAAGAGACATTATAGTTCAGTTACTTCTGTCTGTAATCCCATGGTGTGGTCACAGGTGAAGTGACAACTAGGCAGCCTGGAAAGGATACAGAAAGAAGCAGCTTTTAAAGCTTTTCAAATGGTCAAAACTTGGTCAGGTCTGGGCCTGAAAGATAGACTGGGTGAGGAAGCAGAAGGCTGTGGCTACTTTGTACAAGAGAAAATTACTTTTTTATGGGTTCTTCTCTTTCTTTATCTTCTTTCTATTTTTAGCATTATGGAAGTCTTAGTCTGGATTTCAGACATCTTCACAATTTAGGATGTTCACATAAGGAGGTTGTTTTTTGTTTTTTGTTTTTCTTAATTGCAAGAAGAAGCTTCCATACTAGATGCAGTCAGGAATTCTTTCATGGTTTCAAGGTTATAGCAACCCTTACAAGAGCTATTTCTGAAGTGTGTTCAGATTTAGGGTATGCTGCAGAAGTACTGTCACAAGCCAATGTAAGGGCATGCTGTTACTATGATTAAGGTACAGTAAGTTACACATGAAAAAGAATGCTCCTTTTTTTTTTTAGTTTACTTTTATAGCTCTCTTTACTACATAAACTCAAAGGAATGAAAATGTGCTGTATACTTTCTTATGCTCAACTCTATCCAAATTCCAGACAATGTTTAAAAGAAAACTTCAAAATTTGCAGGAGGAAATATGTTGCTTCTCAACCATTTCTTCATTTAATATGCTCAGAGACATAGCATGATGTGAATTTGTGATGCACTTTAACTTAGCAACTGCTCCTCATGAGGATTTACACAGCATCTCAGCTCCTGCATGCATGCCTGTACATTTTCAGGAAGACTGTAATGTGTTTTTCACTGCAAATGGATTGCCTGGGATAAATACATGACTCTTATTTTGTAGGCACAGAAGTTCAATAACAGTCTCTACAGAATCTCTCCATAAAATATGACAATAAATAACAGTTTAACCTCTAATCTATATTAACAGGCTACCTTTATTTATTGTTTGAAGTCTGTAAAGATAAAGACAGGTAATCCAAAAGGAGCAGTCACAATACGAGCTAATGACCTTCTTTTACAAGAATGTAGATACCACTGGGCAAAAACCATTTCAGCTTCAGCATCATGCAAAGTGCTATTTTGCAAAGAAACACTGTGTGTTAGTTGTTGAAACTTTTTTGTGCATTCCCCGAAACAAATTACACTATTCTGCATATTTTCTTTCCTGTGCAGTAAATAAAGTCTTCCATGTTGACAATGCTAATATTATATTTTTAAATATACTTGCATTTGTTTTTTTGTCATTTTTTATTGCATTGTATAAATCCCAGAGCAGAGATCCACTAAGCCCACTTTGAGAAAGCCCCGTTTCTTGGGATAGCACCATGCAGTGACACAGGTGATCATATGGCGTTTCAATATCGTTTACTGGCTGAATCTATGGGAAAGTTATTTCAATAAGAACTGTTGCTATAAGTTTGGAGTACAAGTCAGAAAGGCTATTTTTAAGTGATTTTATTTTTTAGTTGAATTATTTCATTCAAATCATTTTCAAGGGTGACAATTCCTAACGCAAAGTAATCTTAAGCTGTTTTAGTCTAATTAGTACTTTAAATCTACCATGGAAAGGATGGGAAAGGAGGGAGGCAAGGAAATCATTTTATTACTAGTTGAAATTCTGGGCTTTAGCAAAGCTACTGTGGCACTGGGGGGACAGAGTAAGAAATGACTGTCAAACATTTATTTTTAAGGAAGAGTTATGGAAATTGGTGCTCTAAATAATACATGTTTTCTAATGTATGGAGATATGTATGTAATTAGGTTGGCTTTACTTACTTTTACATTTTAGTGACGCATGAGACAGCTGGAAATTCTCATCAATCTTAAGCCACATACCTAGAAACAAGAAGTTACTTTTTATTTACAGGAATATTGATCCACATCTGCTAGTTATTCAATTTGTTCTCTAAAAAGACATCCTCCTGCTTAAGGGTACCTTAAAAGCTCATTAATTTAATTTAATAGTCTCATTTTTCACTAAATGAAAGAATCAATTTCTAGATAATTTTTAAAGATGTTTTTCTTCCTCTTCTTACTTTATGAAGCTTATTTTTAACACAAACAGCAAAAATTTATCATACTTGTAAGCAACTGAGAAGGCAGTCTCATAAGGTTCATCAGAATTGTATTAATGTGAGAGGAGTTTCCTGAAAGTACTGAACATAAATTCTAGTATAGTCTGTCTTATCTTAGGGTAGGAAATATGAAAAGAAAGGCAGAATAGAAGATTTTCATTTTCTTTTCAATTACTCAAGGAGTCTGACACCAGTTCGGTAAATGTACAGAGTGTGTTTTTCAGACTCAGTCTGACTAGTAAGAAATCCTGACAGATCATCTCAGCACTCTGAGAAATTGCAGGGTCACTTTTTGAAAGCAAGGCCTTCGAAACACCTTGGCTTTCCAAAGTGGAGTCACTCCAAATTGCTGGTCTTTTCTCCCCCACTGCTGGCTTTGCAATTTAGCTTTCTGTTTCTATCATTTTCAATATCTGCAGTATCCTGTTTACCTGAATAAATTCGATTACTTGGAACAATTATGTTGAGCATAATTCAAATCCTGAATTAAATGCAAATCTAGCACCAGAAAATGGATTAAGTAGTATGTTAAGATTTGAAATGTAAACACTGTGTCTTTTCTGCACATAAAGTTTAACTAAATACAGGAAATGGATACTTGTGAGGACGGACAAATTCAAAGTAGCGTTTGTATCTATAAGTGACTAACAAGTGCACCTTGAGAACAACATGGAGATTGAGCAGTGGTGCTTTTGGAGATAACATACAACTGCCTTTGTAAATACTTTCTTTCAATTTTTGGACAAATAGTCAAATGGAAGAACTTTAGAAGAAGGATGTCCTTTTTGCAGGGCCATCAATAGGGGTTTTAATATAACGATGTTTAACTTGTTTGTGGCTGAAACAGTAAAGCCTTTCGAATCAGTGGATTTACTGCAAGACTACTGCATTACTTCTTTGAATTCTGAAATGGAAGAAGAAGAGATTTCAAATCATAGCAGCAGCCAGATAAGTGGGACCTTAATTGTCATATATATGCAATATCAGTATGGTACAACTGTAAAGATTTATGGCTCCGTAGTCCTTTGTGCTAAGATGTAACTCAGAGTAATACACAAAGGCTGTAAACCGAAGACAGTGTGTCTCAATTTCTCCTCCATAATTATTGTTAGTTGCAGGGATAAAAACTGATGGTGCTATTTCCCTATTCTTTTAACAAGGAAAGGGTTTTTTTTTGGGGAAAACAATACTTTGTACATGGTCAAGGGAGTTCAAATGATTGTTTGCTGTTTATAAACATGGAAGACCATTCTGGTGTCATTTCATTGCAAGTACATAAATCCCATAAATATGGAAAATGTACCCATGAGGAAAAAAGAATCCTATTTCCTTTATGCCAAACAACTTGACACCTTTTGCCAGACAAAATTTTGGCATTCTAATGCTTCATATGATCATTATAAGGCCATGCTTTCCTTAAAGTAACCATTTATAGCAACATGTAAGTGAACATGTAGCAAAATATTTCTCCTGTATTAATCCATTTGTTTCATTGAAGATGAAAAGGAGTAACTGCAGGCAGACTTCAGTTGGCTTTGGTTACATACATCCAGTACATGCTTCCATTTGTCACAGTCTCATGACAATCGGAGATAAAAATAGAGTTGCTCAAACTATTGAGAATACATAACAGCAGGTCATGGCTAAATTCTGCTTTCCTCCAATTTAAAGTCAAAGGGAAACCCAGATTTGAATTTAAGTGCAAATTCAACTCTCTGAATTTAGCCCATGTTCCTTCTAAGCAATTCTGGCCAATATATTTTCTTTAATGATTCTTCACGAGCAGAAATAGATATAGAAATCAAAACTGACTCATGAAGTCCTAGGGAAGGCAAGATTTTGCTTATAACAATTCCGTTACAAGAATTCCCTGGTTACCACTGATATTCCCAAAAGTACTCAGGAGTTCTGCTCTGAGATATAAAAAGAGTTATACTGTTCTCAGCTCAACTCTTTCTCAAAGTTACTTATCTGACATTTTGGTTAAATTTGCAGCCCATAAGACAAACAAAAAGAATCCTGAGAAGTAACAAATATCAAGTAATACAGAATTGGACAAAAGCTTAATTCTCATTCAAGGTCATTCGAATTTTTCTGTTGCAGATAAAGATTATGACCTATTTCTTTATTTGAAATTAGTCCAAACCTTTAGCATATTCAGCGTATGCTACTAGGAAAGGTCACCTGCTCTCTGAGTCTCTGAGTAGATGGGGTTCTCTTGTAGCATAAGGAATGTTCCTAAGGCTGATCTCAAACCCAAATGATTTCAAAAGGGTGTCAACTGAAATCTGAAAATAAATATGAGCATGTGTTCAGGTTTCCACTTATTTACCATAGTACTGCCTGACCACATAACAGAAGAGCTTCTGCACACAAGCACTCATCCGCGATTTCCATCTGCATTCATTTGCTCTGCTGCACAACAGCACCAGTTCTGCTGCCACCCTGAGTGCGGCTGTGCACTGCAGCAGAAAGAGGGAAGACATACATTTCAGCAGAAGCAGTGCTGACTCTAACGTCTAGCTTGTAATTTTGTTCAGTAACACCTTTGTACATCAGAAATATGTGAAATATGGGGGGGTTGCCTGTTAGACAACAAGTAACATTCTGCTTTGCTAAGAACGCTTCCAAGTTATGACACAAAACCAAGTGAAAGGCACATTGGGAGCGTCACTAGTGTTAACGTAGTGGTGTCTGAGGGAGTGGGTAGAATCTAGCTGCAGAGCAGAGAGCAAAGCTAATTTTGTCTTGTTTCTCAGCAAAGTAAATTAGTCTTTACTGCCTCAGTGGGTTTTCAGTGCAAGGAACAGGGACACATTTCTTCATACAAAACACTCATCTTTTTCTGTTCAGCAACTGAAACAACCTTCGCAACATGACTGCTGTTTTATTTGACAAGATATTAGTCTGTTAGCTCCCACAGACTCATTACTAGTTCATGAGGGGTCATTGCAGTCCAATCTGGCTCTAAAGTCCACCTAAAATTAACCAGAATAGCTACAGACTATTTTTAATACTTATACATTTTTACAGAAAACACGTTAACCCATTCAACTGACATCCTTCAAGAAACGCAGGAACGTGCTCTGACCTGGCTTCATGCATTTATGTCTCTGCTTTGTGTTTATCCCATCCCTCCTCATGAAGTGGGCTCTGCTCGGTTCTCCCTTGGTTTTGGGAACTTCCAAAACTTGAAGCGAACTCTGAGAAGACACTGAACAGCACACAGCAAAACCTAAAAACCTGTCTATTCTATTTCATGCAGTACTAAATCTAGCGTGCTCTGAACCTCCCAGATTCAAGATACATCCTGTAGCATGCTAAAAGACCCTATTTATATATCAAAGCCCAGTTTTGCTGAGTTCAAAATATGATATGCTTTGAAAAGACTGAAAGGTATAAATTTGGCACTTATCAATGTACTAATAAGATTTCCTTAAAGGTAGATTAACTTCAAATGTCTTTATGACTAGCACACTGGTCTTTTCCTTTATTTGCTTTTGCTAGCAACCTTTTTGTCCTTTCAGGAGAGCACGTTTGTGCTTATTTACACAAAATAAAGATAGCTTGACTTCGTAAGTTTAGTATTTTGGGCAAGCAATAACATACCAGTCTGCTAGCCAGTCTTAGCAGGAAATAGTCCTAGTGCTGATCACAATGAGATGACTCGTGGTATCAGCTCATTTTGAGAAGTTTAGCAAACATGTTATCTCTAGTAACAGCTCTGATGTAATGTTTATAAGTTCAGTCTGTCCTGCTCCCCGTTGTTGGTGATACACTTGTTACCAAAACAACCTAAAACTTTTTTCTTCATCATGACCTTCAGAAGGTCACATACAGATGATGTCTCAACGTAACCTAATATTTGAAAAAAAATCCTTCATGCTGTCAAAATAATTAAAATTTTAACTCTTACTTATAATGAAGCTTAACTTTATACCGCAGAAAGTTTTTAACTGATAATCTTAATGTAAATAGGTTCTATTATATCCAAATAACAAATATGCCCAGTTGCATGGCGGATTATCTATAAAACTGCAAATGCTTTCTTAAAATTATGGCTAGATGGCCATCTGCATTTGTATAGTTAAGGACCACTACATGTCCTCCAGGACACTTGAGCCAAGGCTGACTTACAACCACAGAGGGAAAATTGTGTGGAGAGTCAATTAGAAGGAAAGAGAAAAAGAACAGAGAAAAGAGTAAAATATATGCAGTCTGTATAAAGTATTCCTTCGAGATTCTGGAAAGACATGAGGTTTGTTAGTACTCTTTTTACATTCAACACTTCCTCTGCTTCAAACAGCGTCTCTAAAGTGCTTAAATTGTTACTATGATCATGTCACATGCTCTTTTCCCTTTAACTTCCAGTCTTGTGGACTATCAGTTCAAATGAGTTCTTTCTAAACCTGCAACTACCAATATCAGGAGCTATTTGCAGGCTGCAGTGATTCAGTTACCTCTGTGCTGACCAAAGGGTCTCTGCCTAGGTGTCACCACCTAGAACCTCACAAGAAATGCTGTTGATACAACGGAAAATGAATCCAGCACCCTAATTCTTAGCTGAGTTGGGTTAGTAGGACTATTGTTTCAGAAGTGTTTCTTTAATCCTTTTTCTTCATCTAAAATAAGAAGTTACAACCACGTCTGCACTTCATGAAGATCTGATCTATAATGAATTACAATTTGTAGTAATTTTCAGAGTAAAGCAACGCTTCAAATTTTTCATTTTCATTATCTATATAGAATATTTATTATATGGAAATTCACAACTACTTCTCTCACGCCGCAGTGCAGCAGGAATGAGTAAGAAGCCATAGGGCAAGTTCTCTATTCTTCTCACCAACTTCTCTAATTACCTCCAGAGACAGAAACTTCTCACCAGGCCAGTTTTTTTCAATTGTGCAAATGTCTTTTGCTTCTTCATGCCTTTTGCTTATGGTTAAGGTCCTCAGTAACTTCCTTCATTTCTTCACTAGGAAGATGCCCATGACAATTTAAGGGAGAATATACAATACTTTCTATTCTCTATGTACATCATCTTTTGCCATTTTTGTATTGGCTGTCTGAAAATCAGGGATTCCAGGTCTATGTAGAAAACAACAGAACTTAACTCTGTGTCTGGATATCTGAAAGAGCTAAGAGTTACTCCACTTCAGAAGCAATGTGTATAAAGTAGGAGACTGAAACCAAGCAAAACAAAATGCTCCATTGGCAAGAAACAGAATCTGAGATGAGAAATTGTCTAACTTACTACTATTAATTACACTTATCTAAGGATGACAATACCAGTCTTACACAAAGCCATGAAAACAGTTGCATAACAAATTCTAGCAATGCAATACTGGCTGCTTTAAAGCCTACAATGTCTACGGACACTTCTACCAATAAAACCTCCAAAACACGTGAGAAGGCCAGATTATCTGCTGAAGCCAAATCACATTTTCTTTTCAGCTTCATACATTGTTGCAGATGTGTGCTTTTATAGGAACTTGTGCTGAAAGAATTTTGCTTTTATAAGATCCCACTGGATTTCATCAAAAATCATATCTGGCTCTGTCAATATCAAATTTCTCCTCAAATTCTGAGTCAAAAGCAGTTTGTTACAATTTAACAATACTTTCCATGCAATTTGTTTCATATATGGTTTTGATGCATTTTTCTAGTTTGGATATAGAAGGACAGAGAGAGAGATCTGATTTATAATTTAGGATACAAGTGAATGTGTAAGTTTTTGACACCATTGTACTTGGCCAGCATTTTTAATAACAACACTTTGCCTCCCACCTTGCTCAATACCAATGTAGGAAAAAGTGTGTCCTTTCTGAGGGATCATGTCCTCTCTGAGCAAGCAGCGAGTGTTATTACTGAAGGTTATTTCCTGTTTATTTCAAGTTTAGCACCCATCCAGACCAACCTTGTTTAGCCTGAAATCAGACAACATTGGAGTTCAGGGTCATATGGCTTCAGGCAAAATGAACTGGGCCTAGTCATTAAGCAGAATGTTATGTATAACTCCAGTTTAAAAAGAAGAGTAATATATAAAACAGCACAGTCTATGGATGCTGAGTTCACAGCTGCTGCTTTTGTTTACTGATGCATATTTCTACTACATACAAAAGCTTGAGTTTTCCTGTTAAAGCTGTAACACACTAGCTCAGGGAAATAAGATACAGACGAAGGCTAGCAGAGTAAAATAGATGAAATGTAGCACATAAATATACAGATATTTCTCAGCTCCTGTGCACCTAGGTTTCATGTCAGACATGTTTCCCCAGGATAACAGCAAATATTAAAAGTAAGCATACATGAGCAATGTCCCTATTTAATGTTAATTTGTAACAATAAAAGGAAAACTAGGAACTTTACAACAGAAATTTCCATGAAAAAGAACAAAGCAATAAAGCAAGTATTAAAAGCACATGAACCTCAACCACAGCCCTACAGAAGCTTTTGTATGTGAAATGTCTAAACAAGTTTTCACTTGGATTATCCTGGGGTTCACTGAAAACCTGAAAAGCACTGCTCTAGAGGTTATAGGCATAACATCATCAACAGTACACTTGGCCTGGAGAAAAGGAGGCTTAGGGGGTGACCTTATCACTCTACAACTATCCGAATGGAGGCAGTGAGGTTGGGGTTGGTCTCTGAAGTAACAAGTGACAGGACAAGAGGCAATGGCCTCAAGTTGTGCCAACGAAGGTTTAGACTGGATACTGGGAAAAGTGTCTTCACCAAAAGGGTTGTCAAGCACTGGCACAGGCTGCACGGGGCAGTGGTGGAGTCACCATCCCTGGAGGTATTTGAAAGATGTGGCACTGAGGGACATGGTGGCCTTGGCAGTGCTGGATTAACGATTGGACTCAATGATCTTAAAGGTCTTTTCCAACCTAAATGATTCTATGATCATATAATTCTTTTTATCTATTACTTCCTGCTCCAGTAAACAGACTTTTAAAAAGGGGACATAAAAGAAAAATATCACAAGAGAGATGGGAGGCAGCTGAACATGAATCTTTTCTCTATTCAGTATTTATTTTGCTGCACTTATGCACTAGTATCTAGGGCATGAGGACATATGTCAATATTTTCAATTTGTAAGTTTCTAGAAGTGATGAACCACACAAGTGAAAAGACATGCTATACTGGGCAGGAGAGCTGCTGCAGGGGCACACTGCCTGGAGGAACCAGGCATACCTATTCTGCATTAGGCAAAGGAGATTGTACTCACTGAAGCTCTCTCCACATAAAAATGTTTTGTTTGTGAAAAATAACAGTGTCGATAAATAGGATTAAATCTCAAGAAGAAACATGTTTATTGCATCAGCAGTCCTGCTTTTAAATTGTTTCTAAATACACTATTTCATACTTGAAATAAAACTCCATCAAGCTTTTGTTTTTTTGAGGGGGGTGGGGGGGGAGAGAAGGGGAGGGGGGCTCATCAGGCATGTTCTGATTTGCAAATAAATGTTTTCTCATTCAAAAGCAAATGCTTTTCAACCAGGCAAGCTGTGAAAAAAGGAAGCTCTCTTTCATAGCCAGCTATAAACACTTCTGGTTCATTTTTCACTTGTATTTTTTTCTTTTTTGTAGTGGTGTTCACTCACTATATGTGCCAATCATTGCAGAAATAATACAAGAATACACAGTGAATACAAGAATACAAAAATACTCCAATGCAAGTATGAGGAAGTACAGTACTAGGGGATGGGAAATTCTACACAGGCTGAATTAGGCACATTTATATATATTTTTGAAGAAATAAATACACAGGCTATTGTCTATTTTTCAGGAATTTTAGAAGATACCAGAAGATTTTAGAAGATACCAGCTTTCCTTTTATGTGATATTTTAGAACACATAATTCTCCTGTACCTCATAACACTAACACCTGGCGTTGGATAGTTTTGAGGTTCATTGGCATTAGTCATTCCATGGGTATTTGCTCAGTGAAGTACAATTACTAGTTTTTAGTCAAGGCAGGCAGACTGAAGATGTACTACAGGGACCCAAGATTCCTGTTTGAGCAGCTGGAATGGAAATTTATAGTGCAAAAGCTAGCATTCATCTTGGCACTGCTTTTACAACTGCCAGTCACTCCCATCTTTACTGCCAAAAAAGTGTTGTCTGCCAGCTATGCAGCCAGTGTGAAAAGAGCTTCACCAAGTATTGCCCTGGCTCTGAGGCCCACTCATGTTAACACAGCTGAGGCTTGAAAGGAACCCTTAGGAACAGGCAGCAAATATTGTAAAACTAGATAGACAAATGAAAACCTTCGGCTCTAGTCACGGCAGTAGAAGCTCTGCCAAACTTTCTGCCACCAGAAATCACTCCCAGCATGACTCTGCTACTAGCTGTTACCATTCATCTTCTCTAGGAAGCCCTTGGAATATCACAGCCACTGTGGAGCACAAGGGGAGAAGACAGATGGCCAAAACATCTCCTCATACCCTGTCAAATCCAAGGCTTACAGTGGCACAGAAACACATGGGACCTAACCAGCTCCTTCCTCTTTTGTTCCAGTCTGTTTGTCTCCAATGAACACATTGTACTATAAGTTGATTCCCAGAGCAATGAATAAACCTGAGCAATCAGGCAACCTACTTCACCTAACTGTATTCCCACCATTGTCCATCTGGTCTCATGTTAAACAATTCATTTAAGAGGCTATTACACAGACTCATTCCAGTAACTTTCCTTTTTTTAACGTTAAAAACCCCCAAACCGTCAGAGGCAATTTCTGTCATGCTGTTTTCCTCCTCTGTGCTTATACTTTGCATGTGCTTCCCAGCACTTGTTCTAACGACTTGCCTTTCTTGTTTTGCCAATATAGACACATTCAGTTCTCTTAAGCAATCATTTCAGATGAGGCACCACAGTTGGAAGAAACTATCAGGCAGCCAGATCTCTGCAGGAGAGCATGTATCAGTCACTGTATGCATTACTACTGTTGTAGCAGGACCAAACTCTTGCAAGACTGTTGGCCAGTGCAGAATACTAGAAACATGATTCTTCCCATTGCTGCAAATCATTTCTGTGATCAGACCTACACAGAACAATGTTTGTAACCAAACAACCCTATCTCTACTCCCAGCCATTGGCACTTCTATACATGACCCTCTAGATCTTTTGAAGAGTTGAGATGGAGAAATTAAGACAGACATTTGCAAGGACTTGCATGCCCAGTTCCTTTTGGAACATCCAAACTACGGAGAAGGCTTTGGAATGATCATGTCTAATCTGCTTATTTCAAATAACAAATTGTCATTAAAATGTTTTCTTCTTTCCAGTAACTCTTTAAAAAAAAAACAACTTCAAAACATATATTATGCAACCTCAAGAGGGCAGCATGGTATTTCAGGAATCACCTTCCAAAAAGTTCGTAATGCGTTAGGGTTAACAGTAGGCTCTTATGGCAGCATAACATTGAGGCTGTTGTAAATATTAATTGTAATAGAAAGGCAAAAAGTGTAAGGTAAGTCCATGGCAATATCATTAGCTCACCTGTGATGCTGCTGGTGATGTGATGCTGGTAGTAGCAGACGATGCAGGACTGCAGCGCTCAGA